TTTCCTTATTAGGTAGCCTCTTTTGGAGGTCTTCTTGCTTGCTCAGAAATAAGATGATGAAATATGGAAATCTAAAGTTCAGAAATCAAAAACTGCTGTTACAGTTTTCAGGTGCTCCTTTTTTTTTTTTTCTTTTAATATTTAAGCAAATATAGTACATGTGAGACCAGTTCTGAAGTTAGAACCCCTTTTATTGGGGTGACTGCTTCTTACAGAGCTGATTTTGTATTCACAGCTTTTTAATTCTTTACAACAAAGATTTTCTCACAAAAACTTGTTTAATCTGTATCTGCATCAGAGGAGCAGTTTTTTGCCCTGCTCCAAACTGGTGTGCCACTGAGTGAAAGAAATGTCTGCATGTACAGGGAAAATCTGTTGTGTCTGCTGGCTTTTAGTGTATAGTAAGAAATCTGTCATTAGATGCCAAAGTAAATCAACAGCAGTCAAAATGATGGATGGAAATACAGTGGAAGGCATGGGATATATGCAGTACCTTCAATGGATGTGTTCAAGAGTTGCTGCAGTAGATAGTTCTTGCAGTCGTTTTTTTCTGATTAGTGATCTTGTGAAGGACCTTTTAATCTTTTTCAAGTTTTTTTGTGTGATACTAATGTCCTGTTAAATGTTAAAATAAGTTTTTGAAGATTTTAAAAGTGCGTTCTCCTTTCAGTACACATGTTGAACTTTTTAAACACAGCAATAGGTAGAGACCTAGCCATCAGGCAAAATATAATTTACATTTAATTATGAGGGTGAAACTAGTATCTGTCTTAACGCTCAAATAAATACTCAAGGAATCTTCCTCTTTTAAAAGTCTGATATGCAGTGTATTGCAAATAAAACTCAATGCCCTCTGCCCCCAGTTATTTACATCTTTTAATTACTCAAATTTTTACATGTAATGAAAAACAAAAAGTATGAAAGAAAGATGACAGAACATTAAATTAATTTTGTAGAATACTCTTCAGCTTAAGAAATACTATTGAGGAAGGGTGACATAAAACTACATAAAATAATAAGGGTATGGAGAACATGAATGCAGAATAGCTAGTCACTGCCTTATAAAAGAAGTAGGGATAGTGAACTGAAATTAGCAACCATCACGTTAAAACAAGAAACATTTTTCACAGCCAGCTAATGAAGTTGTGGATGATCAATAGGATGGTGCAGGAGCTCAAATAATAAAGTCTACATGGGGAGGACTAAACTATTTTATGAGGTTAAGTTCATCAGTGACAAAGAAATAGCATTTCCCAGAAGCAGTCTCTAACTCTGGAAATCTACACCATGTCGGGAACCAGGAGGGCGTATCTGTGGAAAGGTGGCTCAATTTTTGCTCCCTATGTTTAGACCATGGTGAGACACTTTGCAAGTGGACCTAAAGTCAAATTCAGTATGGTGTTTCTTAATGTATTTTTTGCTAAATTTCTTTTTTGCTTATAACCATGAGGAAAATAATAGAATGTAAGGTTGTTATTCAGTCTCAAAACAGCCACTATGCACCTGTTCCTAGTCTGCCAAATACTGCCTAAGAGAAATAAAAGTCAAGTTCTTACCCCCATCATTGACATGTTTTGCAAAACATAGTAAAGTAATGGCTGGTGTTTGCTCCATGTTGTGAAATGAGTTGTCTGCACCATTCAGAAAAATAGAATGGAAACTAGTTTTAAGCACTTGGTTTGGACGTGACTGAAATATGGTGCACTGAATTGAAAACTCCTTTCTATCATTGTCAATAGTTTTAATTTTAATGCATTGTGGAAGATTAAGGACATTTTTGTTCTTCAACAACAGAATTTTTTACTTAAAGCAGGCTGAAACACCTTAAGGTTTTATGTAACCACACAACAGTCTTTTCCTTTATCTGAAAAAAATCTTGTGTAAACTCAGATAGTAAAAATTCATGCTGTTTGATTTGGATTACTATTCTGATAGTGCTCTGATGGATGACTTTCAAAATTGCCTTTAATGATAACTGGTAATACAGTAATCCTCAACTCAAGTGTTAAGCAGCTGGAATCTATCAGTTCTTGGGCTCACAGGAGCCATTCGATCTGTCACCTCTGCAAGTCCACGGATTTCAGTCTCAGCTGGGTACCAGGAAGAGACACTGCATTTCATACAGCTGAGAAGCATACCCGATATGTTACTGAAGTTGTTACAAATAGCACAGATTAATCTTGGCTCTTGGGCAAAGTGCTCAGGAAGGTCCTTGAGATGGACAAGATTTAAGTAGATCAATTGAAAGTAACACTGTTGCAAGTGATTAATTCATTAAGAGTGAATGAGCTTCATCAGGGGGTAGTTGCCTTGACATCAGATGTGGATCTTGCCAGTATAATTAGAACTGGAATGAAGAAATAGTTCTTCACACAAAAAGGATAAATTCAGAATCACATGGGTTGCTCACTTTGTTGTCACTCAGGAGTCAAACTGGCTGAGAGATGTTTCCTGAGTTTATATTAAGTCTTAAGGCAAACTGGTGATTGTAAATTTAAAAAGTATTGCATTCAAATGGTTAAATGAGACATGTAATACTCTTGAAAGTTTTGAAATGCATAACTGAAAACTGATAATTAGAGAAAAAAATAAAAGCATGTGGTAATGGGAGAATTGAGCACTTAAAACTACCTCTGTAAAACACCTACAAATACTGACTAAAAATGTAGTGATCCATCTCTTTTATATCCATTCAGAGCTCTTGCAGCCTACATTCATTTAGCAGGATCTAAAACCATTTGAGAACTCCTATTTGTAAAAAATGAAGGAAAAAAAAAAGAAAATAAAAAGAAGGGAAAAAAAAGAAGGAAAACCACCAAAAATCTCATCACCCAAACCTTACTTGCCTAGCTTCATGTCAGAAGCTAGATCTTCTCATTAGGTAATATTTTTCCCAGGATTTAGAGTAGCTGGCATTTGATGCCAGAAAAATAAGTGCCTTCAAGTAAATCCTAATTTCTATATATACATTCTTTCCTACATTATTTGCATGCTAATTTGTTCTGTCTAAAACAGAGAAAATGTAACTTCAGTGTAGCACTTGAACATAAACATACTGCACTCATCTCTTAGTCTGCTTTTGCGCTTTCCTGGAGAGATGGAGAAAATGGGGGTTCAAGGTGGGTAGAGAAACAGAATTAACTATTTTCAGAGCATGACTGTGCACGTGAGCCTTGAGGATTTGAAATGCCTGTGTGTATGGCTGATCCTGCGCATACTGTTTGTGATGAAGTATGAGACAGAGGAATGTCACGCCTGCAATGTCT